TTGGACATTTTTTTTCTCCTTAGGTCTTCCAGTTTTGGGACAGTGTCCTAATGTTTTTCATTTCTGCCTGCAATTGCTGGCCGATCCACTGGAGTTAAATTGAATTAAGGGAAGTTGGGTTGGGTTGGGTTGGGTTGGGTTGAGTTGAGTTGGCAATCCATAGGGAATTCATCCTATCACTGATTTAATATCTGATCTTGGTGGTTTCTTGCTGTTGCCATCAAATTACTTTGGGACTGATGTATGCAAGAGAGACAAGCGATGAAGAAGATATTGTGGGCATTGGCGCTCTGGCCTATCTCTTTATGCGCGTTGGCTCCTCTTCTAGGGCTAATTACTGTTCTTGTTCCTGTTGCCATCGGTGCATCCAACACAAAAGGTTGCGTTACGTTGAACAGCACACAGATTACAACTAGTTGTCCTAGATCCTTACAGAAAGATCGGGGCATCAGGAGGACCCAATCCATGCAGAACTATCCAGCCCATTGAGCGCAAATTCAGACGACAATCTTTTGGATCGCCAAAAGATAAGCCACATGCCACAAAGGGAAGCCGCGTCTTTCAAAAAGCTGTGGAAGTACGAAGAGTTTGATGTTTCAATGTCCTCCTGGAAAGCATGTCTTGGCTCGCCCCGCTGGCCATGAGCTTCTTCTCCCAGGGGGGAAGAGTCACACCCCCTCCCCAATTATTCCTTTCACACACCGCAGCATCTGCATACAAATAGGGCTCTCGCACACTCATGCCACTTGAGGCTGTTGGAGGAAACCAGAATTCGTCTTGACGGTCCCATCAGGACATCCTGCCTCCTCATTCCTCCTCCTCCTCCTCCTCCCCCTGCTCTCCCCAACACACACACACACACACACACCCTCCCCAGACGCCCACGCCGAGCGAACCCCATCCCGTGCCCCCATAACAAATTAGAAATGTGAGAAGTCTCCTTGTTGATCAAAACATAAATTATTCCTCGCAGACAGGGCACCGTCGAGCTCCGGAGAGGGTAATTGGTGCCACCTCCCATTCCTTAAAAGGTGAATATCGTAATTGGAAAAGAGGTGTGAGAGGCTTGCTCGGGCTCCTCGGAGGGGGGGATGAAAGCGTTCATTTTCGCAGCTTGGGAGATGTCTATGGCCGTGTTATGGATTCTAATTATCAACACAGCGGGGAAGGGGGGGCGGTCTTGTTCGTCCCAGGTCTGGGAGTCCTTAGTTACCCCATTGTTCTCTCTGACGTGTGGCTCAGCTGCTGAGGGGGGGGGGAAGCCTGTTGGAATTCTTGATTTGGGGTGGCTGGGGGCTTGGTGCCGCCGTTCGTATTCATCCCCCAGCTGAGATATTTTAAAATTATTACGTATTGATCCTAAGAAGTGTCCAGCTGCCTCACGGAAGGAGTCTGGGTGGCGTAGGATAAAATCTTAAAGGCATAAAAAAGCTTTCAGGTAGTCCTTATGACCAAGATTGGGCCCAAAGTTAATGAGCCCACAGCATAGTCCATCTCCTCCTCCTCCTCCTCCTCCTCCTCCTCCTCCTCCTCCTCCTCTTCTTCTCCCCCATCTCCTCCACTCCACAAACCCCATTCCCTTCTAGCACTGATGATGTTACCTACTTGAGTGATGAAACGTCTACAAGAAAACAGCCAAGTTTAGAGAGTACCATGGATTCCTCCTCCTCCTCCTCCTCCTCTCTGCAAATCCCCCTCCCTTCTACCACTGCAGATGTTACCTAGTTGGGTCATGAAACGTCTGCAAGAAAACCACCCAGCTCAGAGAGCACCAAGGGCCCCCACAACAAAATTTTACAAGATCAGTAAGGGAATTGCTAAGAGCTGCCAAGAAAAATCTGGTAGCTGGCTATTAAAAGTGTAGGCAGGCAGGGGGCCAGGAAAGAGAACAGAGGAGAAGGATGTTTGAACTGGATACCTGCCAGATTCCATTGTTTGACAGAGGGACAAAGGTTTCGCAGGTTTGAGTGTCAGTGGTTTTGCATCGCATCAGGTTTAGTTCCAAAACTTGCACAAGTGGCTTGTACTAATGGCTCCCTTTAGGGAGCAGAACATCCAAGTGTTAATATCACAATGGCGGTTCTCCTTTGGGAGATGCCCCCAAACAAGCCACGATGGATGGAAACTGATCCGAGAGAGAACCAACCTAGAGGTAAGGAGAAATTCCCTGATTGTGAGAACAACTACTCAGTGGAACGACTTGCCTCCGGAAAGGATGGGTGCCTCATCGCTGGAGGCTTTTAAGAAGAGGCTGGACAACCATTTTTCTGAAATGAGGAGGGGGTTGGGCTAAAAGACCTCCCAGCTCCCTCCCAACTCTTTTATTCTGAGATGCACAGATTCCCGTGAGCCTGAGAGTTGTGTGTCTACACACCTGAGCTCTGTTGCATCTGGAGGGCGTCCTGGATGCTAATCGAATGTCAAAAGGACAAGATGGAAAGCACAGGGGCAAAGGATCCCAGGCTCCTAGCTGGGAGCGGGATGGGTTTTGAGTGAACAAGCAAACCCACTGCAAGGTTTTGTGTGTGTGTGTGTGTGTGTGTGTCCCCTTTTCCTTCCCTTCCTGCGAGATTCCAGCTGGTTTCAGCTGATCTTTCAAGACGGACAACGACAACATTGGCTCATCGGCTTTACTTTGTTTTGTGTTTGTGTGTGCCTGTGTGTCTGGCGATGCCGTCTCGGGGAAAGGCGAACGGAGGCCACAAGGAGGGGGCGAGGGAGGGACCCCAAGGAGAGAGGCGTGTGGATTCATGTAGAGGCTTCATCATGTTCCACTTACCCGCCGCACCGCCCCGGCGAAATTCAGCAGATGGATGCCTGGTCATGCCGGCAGCGCAGAGGGGTTAACTCCTCGGATTTAGCTTCTATCATTTCACGAGAGCGTTGACAACACTTTACCATGTTTATTCCCAGATGTGCGTGCTCCGGCCCGGCGGCTTCCCCGAGCCCTGTGCTTTTGCTGGGGGGCGAGGGGGGGGAGGGAGAATGTCGGATAAAATAGCACACCTTTCCGATCGGAGTGCGCATCAAATATTCATGGTCTCCGATTTGCACATTGGGGTTGATAAATGGATCTGACGTGGACTTTGGGCAGGTGGGAGAAACAGCTGCTTCGCTGGGGAATCGGCAAAGGAATTGGGTCAGTTTCCCCTTCTTACAGCTATAGAATTGGAATGGGAATGGAATGGAATAAGAAATAGAATAGAATAGAATAGAATAGAATAGAATAGAATAGAATAGAATAGAATAGAGAACAAGAACTAAGAATAGAATAGAATAGAATAGAATAGAATAGAATAGAATAGAATAGAATAGAATAGAATAGGGAATAGAATAGAATAGAATAGGATAGGGAATAGAATAGGGAATAGAGAGGGGAGAAGAGAGAATGGAATAGAATAGAATAGAATAGAATAGAGAACAAGAACTAAGAATAGAATAGAATAGGATAGGGAATAGAATAGGATAGGGAATAGAATAGGGAATAGAGAGGGGAGAAGAGAGAATAGAATAGGATAGGATAGGATAGGATAGGATAGGATAGGATAGGGAATAGAATAGGGAATAGAGAGGGGAGAATAGAATAGAATAGAATAGAGTATAGATACAATGGAATGGAAGAATGGAATGGAATGGAATTACGGAATGGAATGGAATTATGGAATAGAATAGGAATAGAATAGAATAAAATATGTGGAAAGGAACAGAACAGAATAGAATAAAAACTTTATTGTCGCTTTAAATGTACACTAATCAGCATACATTAAAATGAGATTTCGTTGTATTCAGTTCTCAAAGGGTCACCACCTCCAATATTCACATCTATCAGTAGTTCTCAACTTACGACCACAGTTGAGCCCCAGGTTTCCGTGGCTGAGCAAGACAGTGGCTAGGCGTGTTGCGCCCCATTCTTTGACCTTGAGGGCCAGGGTGGTTAAACAAATCCCTCTGGTCATTAAGCGAATCTTGGCTTCCCCATTGACTTAGTTTGTTGGAAGCTGGTTGGGAAGGTCACCTCGTGGGCATCTGCCAGTTGCTAAGTGCCAAGTCAATTTCGATCGCGTGACCCCGGGGATGCTGCGACGGTCATAAGTGTGAGGACTGGTCATAAAGTCACTTTGTCGTGGTGACTTTGAACGGCACTAAATGGATTGTCGTAAGCCGGGGTCTACTGTAGACGAGCGCCTTTCTTCTCAAACGAAAAGGGGGGGGGAAATGCCACAGTGCTGACTTGGCAAGTTCCAGACAAGCCCTTTGCTCCCGTCTCCCTGGAATGTAATGGCACAGCGAGGGCACGTTTCCTTCCTTTCTGGTTCAGTGTGTTGTGCAAACGTAGAAAAAGCAGCTAATTCAGAGATCGGGTCAAGTGTGTGTTGCAAATGCGGGATTTGCTGCGGGATGGGGGGCTAAAATATGTGAAGAATTGCTGCAGGAGTTGGGTTTGTCTAGTGAAAAGAAGGGCTGGGGGGGTGACATGACAGCAGTCTTCCAATATTATTATTATTATTATTATTATTATTATTATTATTATTATTATTATTAATCGTTGCACAGTCAGCCAGATGTTCAGACTGGATTTGGCATTTTTGTCTACCTATCGAGTCCTTCCCAAGGACCTGGGATAGGCAGATCTGGGTATTATTATTATTATTATTATTATTATTATTATTATTATTATTATTATTATTATTATTATTATTATTATTATTATTATTATTATTATTATTATTATTATTATGGATCATCATACAGCCAGACTGGATTTGGCATTTTTGTCTACCTATCGGCTGAGGAATTCTGGGAGTTGAAGTCCACAAGTCCTAAAAGGGCCAGGTTTGAAGACCCCCGGCCTAGGTAGGGTCTCCTGCCTGAGCAGGCAGTTGGACTAGAAGACCTCCAGTTTGGTTATTCTGTTCGTTTCTGTGAGAAAACGCCCCAAACCTTTGGACTTTCCCCTTGGAAATTCATCCCTTTTTTCTTCTCCTCCTGCCTCAGCACCTTTGGAGAGCTGAAGACGGTCCGCATGCCGAAGAAAATGTTCGGAACGGGGAAGCATCGCGGCTTTGGGTTTGTGGATTTCCTGACGAAGCAGGATGCCAAGGTGAGCGGACGCCTCCCTTTTTCATGCCTGGCTGAGGAATTCTGGGAGTTGAAGTCCACAAGTCTTAAAGTGGCCACGGTTGAGGACCCCTGAGCGCTAGAGGGTTTTGCTTCACAACTGGGCCATAACGAGTCCTACCATCGGGCTCGTTTAACAACCTGCAGCGGAAATTCTCGTCTGATTTGTCGTAAGTTGAGGACTACCTGCAGACAGATCACATCCAAGCTTCCGGTCTATGTTCGGCTTTCGATTCTAGTTTGGATCTGTTGGAAAGCTTCAAGTATAGAGGTGGCTGATGGGTACTGGTGCTCTTCTAGGTTTATTGAAACGGTCAGTTCTATGTTTCAGCCATTAGGGGGCGCTGGTCTTTCTTCTTCTTCTTTCTTCCCCCTCTTTCTATTCTGAAACCCATTTTGATGTGTTGGGGTTATATCTCCATAGCTCAGTCTTTCTTTTTGAGGGGGGGAGGGGAGGGAGCGAAATTCAACTGGTGAACCAGTGACTAGCTCCAAGCCAGGATGCTCAGAAGGGCACAGCCCAGTACACGATGCACACTCGTGCATAGACCAGCCCCTGTCTGATAGGTCTGTTTTCTGTAGTTTTCTAACTTTGTTGAGATCATGAAATGCCTCTGAAACTGGGATTCTTAACTTTTGGTGTGCCAAGGACCCCCTTTGAGAAGTGGTGAAACCCACAGACCTCAATTAGGCTGAAATACAGATATTAAAATGGGTTTTTTTTTTAAAAAAAATAAAAAATAAAATAAAATAAAAGGAGGCGTCACATAGCGAGATCCGCGAAAGAAAAGCTGGAATTTTTGTTTGCTATTCACGCTTGCATTAGAGGATCCACCCTGAAGTATCTGAAGAGAAGAATGCCCAGGCACATAAACGAGTGTTTCTTTAGATGCCTTTGTGTGCAGCTCCTATTCAGATGCATCGCGCTTTAGTCTATTGTGATGTCTGTTGTCTTCCTTTTCTGCCGCGCGGAGTGTGCAGGATGGCGTTTAAAAAGTCAACTGTTTCTTCCCAACCCAAATAGTAATAATAATAACAATATCTCCAGCTAGGAATGAATCTTCTCTCTTTTGACAGAAAGGGCTCAGCTGCCATGCCTTGGCAATGCCCTCTGCTCTCGTCCTCCTTTGTTTTGGGGGAAAGAATGAGAAATCTATCAACCACCTAATGCTGTCGAGTCTTTGTGCCTCGCTAATGGTTTTCTCCCTCCGGACTCTCCAAGCTGAGCATTTAATAGGGCAGTGGGGAAAGAGGAGACAGAGTGGGCCCATCCACCAAATTACGAGCGTTTAGATCTGCTGGGCTGGGGCAGCCCCCGGGAGGTGACCTCAGAGACCTCTTTCCTTGATCTATGGCTCCCGTCATGCTAGAACCCAGACGGTTCCCGTCCGGCTTTCATCTGGGTCGTCAGCCCACCTGGCCATGCTAGCAAGGCTGTGGCTTGTCTGCCCACTCGTGCTGGTGGCCCCTTTGCTCTCTGTTTACAAGTAGCCCTTCGACGTAACAACCATTGATTTAGAATAGAATAGAGTAGAGTAGAGTAGAGTAGAGTAGAGTAGAGTAGAGTAGAGTAGAATAGAATAACAGAAAGGAATAGAATAGAATGGAATGGAATGGAGTAGAGTAGAGTAGAGTAGAGTAGAGTAGAGTAGAGTAGAGTAGAGTAGAGTAGAGTAGAATAGAATAACAGAAAGGAATAGAATAGAATGGAATGGAGTAGAGTAGAGTAGAGTAGAGTAGAGTAGAGTAGAGTAGAATAGAATAACAGAAAGGAATAGAATAGAATGGAATGGAGTAGAGTAGAGTAGAGTAGAGTAGGGAATGGAATAGAATAGAATAGAATAGAATAGAATAGAATAGAATAGAATAGAATAGAATAGAATAGAATAGAATAGAATAGGGTAGAAATGTCATTCTCCTTGGATTGCATTTTTGAAGTCCAGCAAGAATTGAAACACTGATTTCAGATTATCAAAAAGTATCATATTTAAACCCTCTCAAATTGGAAACGTCCCACCCTGATCATTTTTGGGAGGGTTCCAAAATCCAGATGGCTGTTTCACGTTCGAAGCATGCTCCGCTGAGCTCAGAATATTTGAAAGGTTTCGCTCCCCAAATAGAGTCTTTTAGATTTGAAATATAAATGTTTGGCACTCCCCTAATCTCACAGTGACTCATGGTTGGTAAACACGACACTGATACACAAATAGCTTTATTACCGACTTCTAATACTTGCTGGAATAGATAATTTCCTTAGGCTCCCCAGGCTGGGGCTGTTGTAATTATTCATGACATTGAAGCCTGCAGTTGTCAGGTGTGCGTTACACAAAGGTTGCACAATTACACCGGCTCACTGCCAACCGCTAGATGGCAGTTTTACAATCCCTGTTAACTTTGCGCTGCTGTGAAATTGTAGCAGGATCACTGCCAAAGTAATTTGTAAGGCTCTGTTGTGGTTTGACTGTCGAAACTGAATGCTCCTGAATCCAATCTGAAAACTGAATCAACTCGGCTTGGTGTGTGTGTGTGTGTGTGTGTGTTCAATCAGTGATACAATGCAAACAGTTGACTCCACGTGAACAGAGCTGATCTGCACATTTCCTAATAAGTCTTGTAGTCTTAGCTGTTGGGTTGTTATCCAGGGTGCTGAATGTGAATTTTTGTTATATCGGTAGCTACAAATGGCATTTCTCAAAGGTTCTGCAGTTGTGAATCCCACACATATAATATGAGTAGTCTTTGACTTCCCATTATTTGTTTAGTGACCATTGGAAAGGTAGGACTGAAGTGCAAAATTTAGTTTTAAGTAGGTCTTTTTAAGACGTGGGGATGGGAAAGCCTTCACAAATGCACTGGCCATCATTTGATTAGTTGGGGCGGGGGGGGGGGAATGCACTTCACTATGAAAACAGACAGCAATGGGAAGTTCCCATAGAAGAGAATAGTTGTAGGCCTACCTTGATGGTCTCAAGCAGAGTTTTTCAACTTTGGCAACTTTAAGATGGGTGGACTTCAATGGCCAGAATTCCCATTTTCATCTACAGAATATTTGTAGTTGAACTGCAGGATCCTTGGTATGCGTCTCTGAGCTGGGTTGTTTTCTTGCAGATGTTTCAGCACCCAAGTAGGTAACATCATCAGTGCTAGAAGGAAATGGGGTTGGCAGAGAGGAGGAGGAGCAGGAGGAGAACTGTGGGCTCCTTGGTGCTCCTGAGCTGGGTTGTTTTCTTGCCGACGTTTCATTATCCAACTAGGTTACATCATCAGTGCTAGAACGGAGTGAGGCTTGTGGGGAGGAGGAGGGGGACTGTGGGGTTTGAGGTTGGTTGTTTTCTTGCCGATGTTTCATTACCAAACTAGGTAACATCATCCGTGCTAGAAGGGAGTGGGATTTGTTTTCTCTTCTAGCACTGATGATGTTACCTAGTTTGGTAATGAAATGTCTGCAAGAACACAGCCATCCTCATTGTCCAGGGATCAGTCGGGCTCTAGATTCCTGCTTCCGGGGAACAGCAGCCGGAGGGAGAGAGCTTCCCATTTGGGGGCATTTTGGCTTCCAGCAGGCATCTGGGTTGACCCCAATAAGGGAGAGGATGCTGAATCTGGTAGAGGCTCATTCACCGATGTTTGGAGACTTCAGCGTCTTCAGAATGATGAATGAATCCGGAGTGCTTTTGAACCTGACATTGACACTCATGCCTGGGTGAGACCGCAAGAATCTGGTGGTGCCCAGCTGCTAAACAGCTCACGTGCCTACAGGCAGCGCACGCAGCTCATTCCTCAACACAACTTGCGTTCGACCCAGGGAAGTGAGAAATTGAAATACAAATTAGCAAACGAGAGCCTACAATTAAAAAATACAGCGATTTGCCAGAGCTGGGGGGGGGGAGCTGCTTTCTGACAACATAAACAGCCCCCTTCAACTCTTCGCAGCTGACTCCTCCTGGTTGTCTTTACCACCACCACCACCCCAACTCCACAACAGTATTGGTTTCAAGCCAAAACATTTCTCTGCTAATTAAGGAATGTTGGGTGTGAACATCGGCATTTAAGGACACACGACAGCAGCAGCAGCAGCAAATAAAAACCATTTCAGCTTGAAAGAGGAGCCAACGCGTACACCCACCGCAGGATTCGGTTTGGGTTCTTCTTCCCAACGAGGGTTGGTGGGGAGGGGAGAAAGGGGAGGGTAGTCTGGGGAGATCAGTCCATAACAGGGATCTTGGCCCTTTTACGACTTGTGGACTTCAACTCCCAGAATTCCTCAGCCAGGCACGCGTGCCTGGCTGAGGAATTCTGGGAGTTGAAGTCCACAAGTCGTAAAAGGGCCAAGTTTGAAGACCCCTGGTCCATAACAATAGAATACAGGTGGTCCTTGACGTACGACCAAAATTGAGCCCCAGATTTTTGTCGTTAAGTGAGTTTTGCCCCCTTTTACGACCTTTCCTGCCGCCGTTGTTAAGCGACTCACTGCGGTGGTTAAGTTAGTAAGCCGGTTGATAAAGTGAACCTGGTTTTCCCATTGACTTTGCTGATCAGAAGGTTGCAGAAAGTGATCACGTGTTCCTGGGACACTGAAACCGTCGTAAGGACGAGTCAGTTGCCAAGCGTCTGACTTTTGATCACGTGACCACGGGGAAGTCCCCTGTAACCTTTCTATAATTGGAAAGGCTTTACAGGTGAGTTTTCCTCCTCCTCCTAGCCCACTTTTAATTCCTTGACTTATGGCCAGAGCTCATTGCTATTATTTCCTTCCTCCCTCCTTCCCTCCCTCCCTCCCTCCCTCCTTCCTTCCTTCCTTCCTTCCTTCCCTCCTTCCTTCCTTCCTTCCTTCCTCCTTTCCTNGAATGAATCCGGAGTGCTTTTGAACCTGACATTGACACTCATGCCTGGGTGAGACCGCAAGAATCTGGTGGTGCCCAGCTGCTAAACAGCTCACGTGCCTACAGGCAGCGCACGCAGCTCATTCCTCAACACAACTTGCGTTCGACCCAGGGAAGTGAGAAATTGAAATACAAATTAGCAAACGAGAGCCTACAATTAAGAAATGCAGCGATTTGCCAGAGCTGGTGGGGGGGAGCTGCTTTCTGACAACATAAACAGCCCCCTTCAACTCTTCGCAGCTGACTCCTCCTGGTTGTCTTTACCACCACCACCACCCCAACTCCACAACAGTATTGGTTTCAAGCCAAAACATTTCTCTGCTAATTAAGGAATGTTGGGTGTGAACATCGGCATTTAAGGACACACGACAGCAGCAGCAGCAGCAGCAAATATAAAACCATTTCCGCGTCAGGAATTTCAGCTTGAAAGAGAAGCCAACGCGTACACCCACCGCAGGATTCGGTTTGGGTTCTTCTTCCCAATGAGGGTGGAGTAGCAAAATTGCAATTGGTGGGGAGGGGAGAAAGGGGAGAGTAGTCTGGGGAGATCAGTCCATAACAGGGATCTTGGCCCTTTTACAACTTGTGGACTTCAACTCCCAGAATTCCTCAGCCAGGCACGCGTGCCTGGCTGAGGAATTCTGGGAGTTGAAGTCCACAAGTCGTAAAAAGGCCAAGTTTGAAGACCCCTGGTCCATAACAATAGAATACAGGTGGTCCTTGACTTACGACCACAATTGAGCCCCAGATTTTTGTCGCTAAGTGACACAGTGTGTTAAGTGAGTTTTGCCCCCTTTTACGACCTTTCCTGCCACCGTTGTTAAGCGACTCGCTGCAGTGGTTAAGTTAGTAAAGTGAACCTGGTTTTCCCGTTGACTTTGCTGATCAGAAGGTTGCAGAAAGTGATCCCGTGTACCCTGGGACACTGAAACCGTCGTAAGGACGAGTCAGTTGCCAAGCGTCTGACTTTTGATCATGTGACCACGGGGAAGTCACCTGTAACCTTTCTATAATTGGAAAGGCTTTACAGGTGAGTTTTCTTCCTCCTCCTAGCCCACTTTTAATTCCTTGACTTATGGCCAGAGCTCATTGCTATTATTTCCTTCCTTCCTTCCTTCCTTCCTTCCTTCCTTCCTTCCTTCCTTCCTTCCTTCCTTCCTTCCTTCCTTCCTTCCTTCCTTCCTCTCTTTCCCCTCTCTCCATCCATCCACCCTTTACTCCTTCCTTCTTTCCTCCTTCCCTCCCTCCTTCTCTCCTTTCTTGCTTCCTCCCTCCCTCCCTCCTTCCATCCCTCCTTCCTTCCTTCCTCCTTCCCTCTCTCCCCCTCCCTCCTTCCTTCCTTTCTCCCTCCTTCCTTCCTTTCTTTCTTCCTTCCTTCCTTCCTTCCTCCTTTTTTCTTCCTTCCTTCCTTCCTTCCTTCCTTTTCCTCCCTCTCTCTCTCCCCCTCCCTCCTTCCTTCCTTTCTCCTTCCTTCCTTCCTTCCTCCCTTCTTCCTCAGTTGGAAGGGGATTCTAAAGTCAGCAGAACCAAAGGCTGGGTCGAAGTAAGTTTCTTTGACCCCTTTTCTTCCCCTCTCCCTGCCCTGCAGAGAGCCTTCGGTGCCCTGTGCCACAGTACCCATCTGTATGGCAGGAGACTGGTGCTGGAGTGGGCGGACTCGGAGGAAACGGTGGAGACCCTGAGAAGGAAGACGGCGGCGCATTTTCACGGTACCTGATCTGAGTTATCCTTCCGTTTTGAATTGTTTTAAGATTTGGAACATGAAAAGGGTATTGGAGCTAAAGCAATAGAACAATCCTGTGCCTTAAAAAAAAATAATTCCCCTCCGGGGCATCCTCCTCCTCTTTTTTTCATCTCCTCCTTCTCCCTCTCCTTTTCTTTCTCCTTCACCTCCTCCCCTTCTTCCTCTGCTTTCTTCTCTTTCTTGTCCTTTTTCTTACCTTCCATCTCTTCCCTCTCCTTTTCTTTCTGCTTCTCTTTTTTCCACTCTTCCTTCTCCTTTTCCTCCTTTTCTTTCTCCTTCTCTTCCTCTTTTTTCTTCCTCTTCCTCTTCCTCCTCCTCCTCCCCCTTTTTCTTCTCCTCCTCCTCTTCCTCCTTTTCAACAATTGCAGAAAGAGCTGCATTTCGCTCTCTGCTCCTTCCTGTGAAATGGGCATGTTTGACTTAGAAGGCGCCCCCCCAGCCAGCCAGCCAACCTCTCTTCCCCCCCCCCTTCCGCCTTTATGTTGACTAACCAAAGTTTGCCACACTGCGTGGTCTCTCCTGCAGGCAGCAAAGTGCCTTGAGCCCTCCCTGTTAGCACGGATGCGGCCACAGAAAAGAAACATCCCCACCCAGGAATATGCCCGGCCACAGAGAAGGCTAATAATGGGCAGTAGAGAGAGCCTTGTCTTCCCAAAGAAGTCCGTTTGGAAGAACTGACTGCGTGTATCTTTCTTTCCCCCCCCCCAAACCACCCATTCCCCCTTTGTTTACCCCTCAATCTGCTCCCCACCTTCAAGCATTTTGGGTGTCCCCAGGTCTCAAGCCCAGAGAGGGCTCTTTGAGCAACTTTGCTGTTATTCTTTTGGAAGCAGCGAGGAGGGGGGGGGGGGAAAAGCAAAGAGAAAAGCCGAAGAGAGGGAAGAACGAGGCTCCGGCTGTGTGTCATTCAAACCACAGGGTCTTTCAAACAGCACGGCCCGCAGTAGAAACAGGCTTTTAGTTTTATTTCGTGGCGGCGGGGGCGGCCTGGGAAATTCATTGGCGTAATAGCACCGGCGGTATCTTTTCTACGAATCTTTGTTTTGCCGTTCTTCGCTGACGGAGGGAAATGGGTTTTGTATTTGCTTTGCCTCCTCTCCCCTCCCTTTTTTCCCTTTGTTGCTGCTGGTGGGCTGGTTCCTGCAGAGGGTCTGGCCTCCCTCCTCCTTACTTCCCAAAGCTGGCTTCATCTGGGACCTCCACAGCCTGTTATTTTGTCGCCCGGTAGCCTCAAGCGTGGTTCTTCCTAGAGGAGAACCGGTAGTCCTTGACTCACAACCACAATGGATCCCAACACTTCTGTGGCTAAGCGAGACATTTGTTAAGTGAGTTTTGCCCCCATTTTACAACCACGGGGATTAAGGGAACTGTCGCAGTTGTTAAGTTAAGGTAACACAGTGCTAGGCTGCATTAACAGAGGTATGGAATCAAGATCACGTGAAGTGTTAATACCACTTTACAAGGCCTTGGTAAGGCCACACTTAGAATACTGCATCCAGTTTTGGTCACCACAATGTAAAAAAGATGTTGAGACTCTAGAAAGAGTACAGAGAAGAGCCACAAAGATGATCAGGGGGCTGGAGGCTAAAACATACGAAGAAGGGTTGCTGGAATTGGGTATGTCTAGTTTAATGAAGAGAAGGATGAGTGGGGACATGATAGAAGTCTTCCAATATCTCAGGGGCTGCCCCAAAGAAGAGGGAGTCAAGCTATTCTCCAAAGCGCCTGAATTTGCAGGACAAGAAGCAACGGATGGAAATTGATCAAGGAGAGAAGCAACCCAGAACTAAGGAAAATTTTCCTGACTGTGAAAACATTGAACGGCTTGTCTCCAGAAGTTGTGGGTGCTCCATCACTGGAGGTTTTTAAGAAGAGACTGGACAACCATTTGTCTGGAATGGCATAAGGACTCCCAGCCTAGGTCAAGGGTTGGACTAGAAACCTCTGAGGTTCCTTCCAACTGCTCATCTGTACCCTGTAAAAGAGAAGACAGAAGTGTAGTTCTCTTCCTCATTTGAGGAAGGAATAGGACAAGAAAAGAATTGGTGGCAACTGTCTCAATTTGCTAGAATTTTTTATTTTAAATTAGCCCAAGAGGCTTATATATATCCCGACAATCTGGAATATCTCCGTGCTTTCCGGATTATCACCCCAGGACCTCCACGGCCCCCTGCCCTTCTACCCCCCTTACTCAAATGAGTTAATATAAAATAAGGAAGCATTTCAAACCTCAGTCCCACCCCACCCAGGAAGCTTTGTTTTTCCCTTGCAGATTGTCCAAAAATAATAATAAGGACTCCGTTAATTCTGTTCTGATGCAGAAAGGAGGATACATAACTGGTGTGAAACGGGCCAGTCTTGATTTGTTTTTTTGGGGTGGGGAACAGGGGAGGGGGGAAAACTGGGTCCTGTTCAGCCTTTTCCATGGAGACAGGACCCCCCCAAAAAAGAAATCCCAATTTGCTTTTGGCCGTTCCGATCGCCTCCAGCTGTATTTCTGAAGGACCACAAGGGGAAAAGAGGCCTGGATCTTTTCAGAGGCCTCTGATTCAATTGGCCTGTTTGATTTGGCTTTCCGATTCAATTAAGCCCGTCAATGGGAGGCGGAAATTAAATCAAATCTCCTTCAATGAGGATCTCTCCCAATCCACCTTGTGGCGCAGCCCGGCTGAATGCAGCTCGGCCAGGCCGGGGCCGCAGGATCCCGAGAACATATCAGAACCTCCCAAGATCCCCCAAGGTGATCAAGTCCAGGATCAGGGTGTAAGTTACCGGCGCTTTCTCCAAGATCCAGAAAAACCCACCCGCCGCGTTTGCTTCTTTAGCGTCGCCAGATAAAACTGGCCTCTGCCTGTACAGGTAGTTCTCTGCTTACGACCACAGTTGAACCCAGCACTTCTGTGGCCAGGAGAGACCTTTGTTAAGGGGGGTTTGCCCCATTGTACGACTTTTCTGGCCACAGCTGTTAATTGAATCGCTACAGTTATTAAATTAAGTGGATCCGGCTTCCCCCATTGACTTTGCTTGCCAGACGGTCGCAAAACGGGATCACGTGACCCCAGGACACCGCAACCGTCGTAAGTATGAGTCAATTGGCAAGAGTTTGAATTTTGATCCCGTGACCCTTTTTCCAGTGCCGTTGAACCTTCGAACGGCCGCTAAAACGAACCGTCGTAAGTCGAGGGTGACCTGTCTTCCTAAGAGGGGCTATCGGTTTATGGAGAACTGATGGATCTTGGACTGCAGCTCCCATGGGCCTCAGCCACCCTGTTTGGAGAAAATGGGTGGTGGAGTCCCGCATTCCCTTTACAACACAGGTTGCCCACACCCAAGACCTGACCACACTGAGCTCTGTGGGAAAATGCCTTCTGGTTGTGTTGACCACAATACTCTCGTGTTGTTCATGCTTGGATGGGGTTAACCGAATAACAGGGCTGGGACCTTGGAGGTCATCTAGTCCAACCCCCTGCACAGGCAGGAGACCTTACACCATCCCAGTCAAGTACCTGTCCAGTCTATTTTTTGAAAGCCTTCAGTGATGGAGCACCCCACAACTTCTGGTGGCAAGCCGTTCCACTGGTTAATTTTTCTCCCTGTCCGGAAATTTCTAGGTTATCTCCTTGATAAGCTTCCATCCCATCGTTTCTTCTCTGGCCTCCTGGCAAGAAAATAGCTCCAGCCCCTCTTCTTTAGGGCAGCCCTTCAAAGAAGAGGAGGTCAGCCTAAGAGAAGGCTGGACTAGAAGATCTCCAGAGTCCCTTCCAAACTCTGTTCTTCTGTGTTAAACATCTTCTCCAAAGAGCTGTTGCGAGAAACTTCCAAACGGATTCGGGCATTTGAGCCAACAGCTTTTGAAGCTCCATCTCTTTGCTTCCTTTCCCACCCACCCCCCTCTCCCTCTTCGCCCCCCACCCCCCCCACCCCTCTCCCCCACGCTTCTCGGAGGATTGTTTTGGAAATATTTCCGAGCGAGTCAGTAATAATCCTGCATGCACTTCTGCCTCCCGGGAGCCGCGAAGCGTGCGGAGGAGGGACCTGCTCCCAATCCAGCTAAATTACTATTGACTTGTCTTCCGCGCGCTCCGCAAACATTTCACTCAGCCATCAGCAGCAGGGCCGGGGATCTCCTGCCAGGGGTAACGTGAGAGGCCAGCTGCGCTGGGTTGCGTCTTCCTGCTCTTCCCCATCGATCAAAGAATTAAACTGACAGAGGGAAAATTCTCGCACCAGGACGGGGGGCTGAGCCCGGGATGGGGGAAGCCGGCTCGGAGGCAGAGCCAGCCTTGCAAATAGAAACCTGGGAGGGCGACAGGAGGGGCAACGAGGAGGCGGCCGGCGTCTCTTACACACCAAGGTGGAAAGGATGTCAGTTGGGTTGACCAGGAGAGATGTATGTGAGTTTGTGGAATGGAGGAGGAGGAGGAGGAGGACTGTGGGGTCCTTGATGTTGTCTGAGCTTGGTTATTTCCTTGCAGACGTTTCATTACCCAACTAGGGAACATCATCAATGCTAGCAGGGCTTTATGAAATGGAGGAGGAAGACTATGGGCTCCTTGGGGCTCTCTGAGCTGGGTTGTTTTCTTGCAGACGTTTCATTACCCAACTAGGGAACATCATCAATGCTAGCAGGGCTTTATGAAATGGAGGAGGAAGACCATGGGCTCCTTGGGGCTCTCTGAGCTCGGTTATTTTCTTGCAGATGTTTCATTACCTGTCTAGGGAACATCATAAGTGCTGGAAGGGAAAGGAGGAGGAGGAGGAGGAGTCTAGGAGGGTTGGACTAGAAGACCTCCAAGGTCCCTCCCAACTCTGTTCTTCTGTTAAACCCAAATAAAGGAAGCATGCTTTCTATGTTTTCATGGCATAGCGAACCCCCAGTACACCGTCTTATGGCATCATGCTAGGACATGATTTGCCCAGCGGGTGAGTTTGTCAAACACACGAAACGCAACTCGATCGTAGCTTCTGCCAATGTGTTGTATCGCACCCACCCTTTATATCTTTGCAACATTCCTCTTTTCTCCCACCCACCCCCAATTCGGTTAGCCTGAGCTGTGCCCCGAGAATCTAATGAAGGAAAAATTGCAATAGCAAGAATACAATAACGTTCGGGCTGCTCTCTGTTTTTATTTTTACACTGTGCGTTTTATCTGCTTCCTCTACTTTATTCTAAGCCGCCTAGAGTCACGTACGTGAGGTGGGTGGCTATATAAACCCAGTAAATAACGAAAATAAAAAAAACGAGGTAGTGGAGGCGAAGCTCTTCCCCAGAAACCAACATTTTTATATTTCTTGGGGCTTCAAAGATGCCAAGCGCTCCTGTACAATACGAAATGAAACCTCGGGGTGATCAAAGCCTGTTTGCTACAGTTTCAGACACAACATGCAATTATAAGAAAAAGATAGGCATGCCCACAAAATACCTCCAAAGCTATAAAATGCACACCAATTTTGCATCTGGCTTGGTGAACGCAAGAAGCCCTTGACCTTCCACAGTTTCTTTAGTGACCATTCCAAGTTACAACAGCACTGGGGGGGGGGGAAGTGACTTAATGACATTTACGGCTGTTGCAGCCTCCCCATGATCCAAATTCAGACGCTTGGCGACTGACTCCTATTTACGACCGTTGCAGGTCACGTGATCCCTTTTGGCGACCGTCTGACCAGCGAAGTCAACGGGGGGGAAGCTGGATCCCCTTAACAACAGTGTTGCTAACTGAACAACAGCAGCGTTTCACTTAACAGCCCTGACGGGAAAGGTCGTAAAATGGGGCGAGATTGATTTAACACCTGTCTTGCATAACGAGGTCTTAGCAAGGCATTATCAAGGGGTGTTAACGCTTCGCACGATCTTGATTCTATCCATCTATTAGCGCCTGAGTCAATTGTCGTAACTCAAGGACTAGCGATAGAGGACTGTACTATATTCCTAAGTGAAATTAGCGATATTTCTGACTCCGAATCCGGCCAGGGCTGGATGGTGCGTTAGGGGAGCTGCACCCAACCCCTGCCTCGTCTTATTTTGCTTAGCAGTACATTATTGGATTCTTGAAGCCTTCACTTCTGGGACCATACGAATGTGTCAGCTTTTTTTTTCCCCCTCTTTCTTATATCCCTAACCCTTCCCTTGCTCTTTCTGGCTCCAGTAATTGCTCAGAAAAAGGAACTAAGCCAGGTTTAGAGAAAGTGCAAGAAGCTACAAGAAAAGCAATCAACGCTTTCTCTCCCCCCCCCCCGCCCTCCCCTCCGACGAATCTGTGCAAAATTCTTTTGTTGATCTAAGCTAAAAGTTGCAGAAGGGTTGAGGGGTGGCTGTATCAGCCGGTCACGGAGATCCGTAGCAAGGACTTTCTGCAGCCTTTGAGGATGTGAGATGGATCAGATCAGGAAGATTAAGGAGGAGGAGAATTTCCTCTTTCCTCCTGGACCGTTCCAGTCCTGCCTCAAGCCGAAAAGTCGGCTGGCCGACTATGTGCCAATCACCGGGAGACTGGGAGTTCTAGTCCTGCCTTAAGGATGACAGCCAGCTGGGTGACTTTGGGCATCAGTGAGTTCTAGTTCCACCTTAGGCCTGAAAACCAGCTGATAACTTTGGGCCAATCACCAGGAGACTGTGAGTTCTAGTTCCACCTTTGGCATGAAAGCCAGCTGGATGACTTTGGGCCAATCACTGGGAGACTGTGAGTTCTAGTCCTGCCTTAGGCATGAACACCAGTTGGGTGACTTTGGGCCATTCATCAGCAGACTGTGAGTTCTAGTCCTGCCTTAAGGATGACAGCCAGCTGGGTGACTTTGGGCACCACCAGGAGACTGTGAGTTCTAGTTCCACCTTAGGCCTGAAAACCAGCTGATAACTTTGGGCCAATCACCAGGAGACTGTGAGTTCTAGTTCCACCTTTGGCATGAAAGCCAGCTGGATGACTTTGGGCCAATCACCAGGAGACTGTGAGTTCTAGTTCCACCTTTGGCATGAACGCCAACTGGGTGACTTTGGGCCAATCACCAGGAGACTGTGAGTTCTAGTTCCACCTTTGGCATGAAAGCCAGCTGGATGACTTTGGGCCAATCACCGGGAGATTGTGAGTTTTAGTCCTGCCTTAGGCATGAACGCCAACTGGGTGACTTTGGGCCATTCACCAGGAGACTGTGAGTTTTAGTCCCGCGTTAAGTATGAACGCAGATTGGGTGACTTTGGGCCAATCGCTAGAAGACTGTGAGTTCTAGTCCCGCCTTAGACATGAAAGCCAACTGGGTGACCTTGGGCCGGTCCCCCCCCCTTCTCTCTCTCAGCCCAGCCCACCTCATATAGGAGGGAGCAAATAGCAGGAGGAAAGTCTGTTGGATATGTTCACCATCTTGGGTAGCTTATAAAAACAATTCATACAAATAAATAAAGAGAAACGTAGAGATTATCCTTTGAAGATTAAATAAAAAATGCAACGACTCAACCTTCTCCCAACAACATGGTTCCCTTTCTCTCCAAAGTTCTGACTCTTACCTCACTGATGAAGCTATATGTGGAAATTGGGGAGGGGGTGAGAGAGAGAGATTAAAAGTGTTCCTGGTTCTTCCCACCCCCTCCAACTCCCCCTCCCCTTATTCCCCCCCTTCTGTCTCCCTCAACAATCGTTAAAAACATAGGAGCAGAAGTACCACCATCTTGGCTTTCTGTCAAGGAATTAATTGAAAAATAAAATCATTGGTGTTGGTGGGGGGGGGGGTGGCAGGCTGGACTCCCCAAATGCAGAACCGTTTGGTTGGGAATGGGAAAAAAAAGCGAAAAGATTTTGGGAAGGTGAGTTGGGAGGGGGAATCTGGATCTCGTCAGGTTAATTTCCCTTATATTGATGTTTTTTTCCTGACATTTACTTGCTGTTTATCTTGGGAAGCAGCTGTAAGGCTGGGAGAAAATACAGCAGCTTGTTCTGCCTGTTTATTTTACACCCTTTTTCCCCGAGTCCTGGAAGAAGAAAAAAAGTACATTTATTTGTTTGTCGGAGACGAGGCGATTTGATGGGGAAGATTGGGATTTGAACAGCTGTTCTCCACGCGGAGAGAGAGAGAGAGAACTGCTTTCTGAAAAGAGGGGAAAACGCAGAGAGGGAAGAACCCTTTCTTTCCCTCCCTGATAGCAGGGGGAGAAAAAATGAGTTCAACAGTCTTCCATAATTCCCTTAAAAAACAAAACAAAACTTGGACAATCACGAGAGATCTCTACAGGGCGTCCTTCACCACCATTGAGCCCAAAACTGCCCTTAAGTGAGTTTTTGCCCCCGTTTTACGACCTTTCTCGCCACAGTTCTTAAGCGAATCACGGCAGTTGTTAAGTGAACCTGGTTTCCCCGTTGATTTTGCTTTTCGGAAAGTTGCAAAAAAAGGGGGGGGTCACGGGACCTCCGGATGCTGCAACCGTCATAAATAGCTGCCGGTGGCCAAGCGTCTGAATTTTGATTCTGTGAGCGTGAGGGAGGATGCTGCAAGGGTTATAAGTGTGAAGAACGGTCCAAAGTTGTTTTTCCAGTGTTGTTGTAACTTTGAACGGTCACTGAATAAAGCGTTGCAAGTTGAGGATTACCTGTATAAAATGTATGGAAAGGATGTAGATCGGCTTACAAGATTAATGGCATGGCAGGAAAATAGAATAGAATAGAATAGAATAGAATAGAATAGAATAGAATAGAACAGAGAAAAGGAATAAAATTAATTTTTAAACTTGTAATGTCATCTGTGTATTTTTACTTGATTGCTAGCCGCCCTGAGTCCGCAAGGAGAAGGGTGGGATATAAATTTAATAAATAATAAATAATAATAATAATAATAATAATAGAATAGAATAGAATAGAATAGAATAGAATAGAATAGAATAGAATAGAATAGAATAGAATATATGGAATGGAGTAGAATAGAATAGAATAGAATAGAATAGAATAGAATAGAATAGAATAGAATAGAATAGAATAGAATAGAATATATGGAATGGAGTAGAATAGAATAGAATAGAATAGAATATATGGAATAGAATAGAATAGAATAGAATAGAATAGAATAGAATATTTGGAAGGGACCTTAGAGGTCTTCTAGTCCAGCCCCCTGCTCAAGCAGGAAACCCCTAGGGCATTCTCCAATATAACCGTTTTGGGGTTAATTGAATAAAAGGACAGAAAAAAAATGGTTATCCTGCCTTTTCCACTCAAGAGTGTCCCTTCATCTTACCCAGATCCCCCTGTCAAGAAACGGCGGACAGCCATTTTGGAAGAGATGTTGGAGAAGCTAGCGGATGATGAAGAAGACCATGAGGAGAATAACTAGAATCCTCACTTCAAAACTGAAAGGTATGTTAAGTCCTCTGTGTCTAAAGAATTGACTGCAGTCTTCACTCGATCCTCACTAACCCAGTTGACCTCCTTACAGATAGCTGTGATAGTACTCCTCCTCCTCCTCCTCCTCTTCTTCTCCTCCTCCTCCTCCTCCTCCTCCTCCTCCTCCTCCTGCTTCTGCTTCTCTATAACAGTGTTTCTACAATAAGCACAAGGTCCAGTGGTATTCATTTATCCTTCTGTAAGACCATCCTTTCCCAGCTGCCTCGGGGTCCATTCTCAGCATGAATGAGGTGGAGAATAAAAGAGGGTAGTTAGCAGTTAATCCTATCTAAAGCAAGTGTTAAATTCCAGCACAGGTGCCTGTAGGGTGAAGACCCTCCCCTCTTCCAACTCCCAGGAAAGTCAGAGATTAAGAGAAAAGCAGAAAGCGGAGGGTTAGAATGACCAAGCCTTCCCTTAAATCCTTCAGGATTTGGGAATAACAGGAACCTTTCAGAATCTGTAGGAGGCAAGAGAGAAGAAAAATACAGTCAAATTTTGCAGCCCTCCCACCTTCACATAGTGGATTGAGAAGGGGGGTTGAAGCATAAAGATTCGTGACCAAGTCTTAGGATATTTACTGTAGATGGTGGGATTTTGAAGCGGGGATGATAGCAACCAGAGGTCCTTTTGTGGTGCCTCAAGTGCCACTGGTGAAAGCCATGAAGGTGGATCACTCACTTGGGACCGATACAGGAGAATCTTTGTAGCTCAAGGTTGAAATGAGGGATCCTTGGTGCTCTCTGAGCAGGGTTGCTTTCTTGCAGACGTTTCATTACCCAACTAGGTAACATCATCAGCGCATCCACACCTCTGGAACACCAGGTGGGAGAAGGCCTTGTCTAAGCACAAGGAGATTAAATCAGTTGATCTCAAAAAAAGGAGAAAGAGCAAATTCTTCATGCTTTTGTGTTTCCAAACCAGATCATAGTCTCAACCCCTTGGTGAGACTGAGTTTAAATTTAGATTTCGATTAGGTTTCAGGGACCAACCCATTGAGAGTTACACTCCCCCCCCCTGATGTCAGTTGCTTAATTAAGTCCAGATAAATAAGGATGCCAGCCTTTATAAACTAAAGCTCTTGAAAACAGCTGTTAAAAAGGAGTAGAGCTGTTTTCAAGCACTTTCAATTGTGTGACTGGATATTGTTGGCAAACTGGACCTAATTCAGCTGGATTCATTATATTCTCATTGTACTTTTTAAAAAATGCGAAGATTCCCCCTTCAGAATAATATAACTAAGCCTTCTTTAGTCTGGTGTCCTTCAAATGAATTTGGGGGGATGGGTGGGGGAGGGAGAGAGAAGAGGAAACTAATCACACAATTTACATCATCTACACAATTACATTCTGATGGATGTGACATCACTGTGGATTCCACTAGATGTCATTGTTCAAACGTGCTGTATTGTATCGCCAGTTAATCAGCTGAGCGCGTTTTAGTCTGGTTTCAGACCAGTGTCAAAGATGCTGTTAATATAGAACAGATCATGCAAGAAAGAACCGCTGGCTTCAAGGCTTCTACATTTTCTGGTCCTCATACCCAAAAAGTCTTCCCAAAAAAAAGAATATGACAACTCACCGGAAGGTTTTTGCAATTTTTACCTGTAATTAACTTACATGAAAGTTCTCTGGAAATTTTCACACGAAAGACTTTCAGTTAGGCCACCTCACCTTCTCTAAATGGGTAGGGTGGATCTGCAACGGTCGTAAGTGTGGAAAACGGTCATAAGTCACTTTTTTCAGTGCCCGTTATAACTTCAAACGGTCACTAAATTGTTGTAAGTTGAGAACTGTCTGCAGGTCATCCTCGACTTACAACAGTTTAGTGACCGTTTGAAGTTGCAACGGCGCCGAAAAAAGTCACCTGTGAAAGTGTTTCACGCTTACGACCATTGTAGCATCCCTGTGATCACGTGATCAAAATCCAGACACTTGGCTACTAACTCATACTGGTGACAGTTGCAGTGTCCCGGGGTCATCTAGTCAACTAAAGTGCAAATCTGAATGAGCGCCAGATAAGAATCAACAGAATTCAAGAGGAGTTAGAATTGTTCGGTTTGTGGCGACGTAAGGATTCTAAGCTGATGGCAAGTTTAATTCCACCACCACCTCCTCCAGTTTTGTCGGCTCTTCTACATCGAGCAGCAAAATACCTGCAGGAGAACCGCCAAATTCAAAGGACATCAAGAAGCCAGCCAACAAGAGTTTGGGAGGTCTCTGCTACTTGTAGTTGGGTGTCGTCTCCTCCCTAGCCCCCTCCCTCCCCGCATTGGTTTCTTTTCATGGCAAGCCAAGTCACCCACACACACCCCCGAAGACGCTTGTGTGCTCTGCAGCATCCGGGAAAGGATTAGTGCGAGCCGAGGAGGTAGGCTTTGGCAAACACGACCCAGCTTGGTTTCAACATCTAATTCAATTTGTTCGGCTGGGATTGAAATGTGAAATGCTTGCCAGTCAGATGTTCAGGGTTACCAGGGGTTGAGAAATGGGGAGGGGGTAGCTGGGGTGGGTGGGCAAGGGGAAGAGGAGAAGGGAGCAGAGGCTTTCCTAAAAATCTTAAAGAGTTTTATGAAAATTAATTTAACCCTTGGGGCTGGTTTTTTTTTACGCCTTCTCTTCCTAGAACTTCCTCTCCCCCCCCCTTAGGGCCGCGGAGACCTTCCACTCATGTAATTGAAAAGAATTTGCTTGGGGAGGGTCTTCCCATGCCTTAGTTTACAGAAATCTCTTTTTTTGTGCTTATCGGAAGGCAGTGCAGATAGGAAACCCAAACCACAGAATACTAAGGCTGCCTTTATTGAGATAACTTTCTCCACTCCCATTCCTCCTCTAGACTCAGGTTTTCTCTATCAGACTCTTGTGTAGGCTGCAGCTCTGTCTCCCACGGTCCTTCTCACAGCCCATGTCAGGAGAGATGGAGGGAGGGAGATGAAAGAGAAAGAGAGGGAGGGAGGGAAGGAAGGAAGGAAGGAGAGTGCAAAAAAATAACTAAGCTCCAAGAGCACCAAGGACCCCATAGTCTTCCTCCTCCCTCTCCTGCTCCTCCCCTTCTACTCCTCCTTCTGCCCCTCTTCCTCCCCTCCTCCTCCCCCTCCTCCTCCCCTCCTCCTCCTCCTTCTGCCCGTCTTCCTCCTGCTCCTCCCCCTCCTCTTCCTCCCCCTCCTCCTCCCCCTTTTACTCCTCCTGCCTCTCTTCCTCCTGCTCCTCCCCGCCTCCTCCCCTCCTTCTGCCCCTCTTCCTCCTGCTCCTCCCCCTCCTCCCCTTCTACTCCTTCCCCTACTCTCCCACCTGCCCCTCTCCTCCTCCTCCTCCTCCTCCTCCTGCTCCATGTAAGGAGATTTGCATTTTATCTCCCTAACAAGACCCCTTGTGAAACAGGTTGGGCTAAGATTTGAACTCTGTTCTAATAGCTTTATTGTTTTTAAATATTCTGGGGGTGGGGAGAAAGAGGGGGATTTTTTTGGTTGTGGTGTCTTGTTTTTTTTAACTGTGTAAACAGCAGCGTCACACAGCGCTGAGTCGCAGCGATGAGGCAGGTGGCTACCCAACAGTCCTCGACACAGGACTGGTAGGAATCCCAGATCGGAGAGGATTTCCACTCTGTCTTCTGCTCCAGCCGGGTTGAAAAATAAGTCGGGAAGCTACACAGGTCTCTGCTGTCAGCTGAAAGGCTTGGCTGCAGAGTTCTCCGGGCGATTGATTTGACAGACCTTTCCCTCCAGAGGGGAAGGACAAAGGAAGGGAAGAATTTAAATCCAAGATGTGTTAATTGGATTAGCAGCTTCCCGGCCTAGCTGGAGCAAAGATCTTCTCCGTTCCAAACCCAGCATTACACGAAGGGACTCCTGGCTTGTTGGCTGCCAACGTAGGGGACGCCAGACTGTTTGGGTGCTGCATTTTGGCACAAAGTCACACCCGTGGGGTAAACAGCCTCCTTGGCCAGGCTGACATCCTTTCTCAGCCGCCGGTGTGTTTGTGGTATCAGCATCGAAGCGGTGTTGTTGTCCACGGCCTTCTGTTTTCCTTTAAATATATTCATTTCAGGAGCCGGAGAGAGGATGGGGAGGGGGGGGGGGAAAGACCAGGAGAAACAGCCTAGCAGGGAGCTGAGATTTCAGACTTACCCATTCATGAATAATAATCAGGCTGAGTAATTCACAGTAAATGGGTATCCAAATTGGCTAATAAGGAAGGCTTTCACCTCAAACTGGAATTGGGCAAGGGACCGAGAATATCAACAGACGCTGGCGACGGCTTTGCGTGTGAACGGGATGTGACCTGAATCGGCGAAATATGCAAACCAGCGTCCGTGTGCCAGCAAAATAATAGGCAGCTCTGTTAGCAGACGAAGGGAAGAGAGTAGAGCTGGCAGGTTGACAGCTTAGCAGCTTTCTGTCGTCGGGGCTTCCCGTTGGCAAAGCCGCCTTGGTTAACTTCTTCAGGCCGAGGGTCCAAGATTGGGGCAAAGTCTAGATGTTCTGGTAGAAGAACGGAATGGAATGGAAAATTAGAATAGAATAGAATAGAATAGAATAGAATAGAATAGAATATGGAATGGGATGATTATGGTGGTGGTGGTGGTGGTGCTGGAAGGGACCTTGGAGGTCATCGAGTCCAGTCCAATAGAATAGAGTAGAGTAGAGTACAATAGAATAGAATAGAATAGAATAGAATAAAGTAGAATAGAATAGAGTAGAGTAGAGTAGAGTACAATAGAATAGAATAGAATAGAATAGAATAGAATATAGAAAAGGAATAGGATAGGATAGAATAGAATAGAATAGAATAGAATATGGAATGGAATGATGATGATGATGATGATGATGATGATGATGATGGAAGGGACCTTGGAGGTCATCGAGTCCAACCCAATAGAGTAGAGTAGAGTTGAATAGAATAGAATAGAATAGAATAGAATAGAATAGAATAGAATAGAATAGAACAAGAGCTGGAAGGGACCTTGGAGGTCTTCTAGTCCAACCCCCTGCTTGAGCAGGAGGCCCGATATCATTTCAAACAAATGGTTGTCTGGTCTTTTTTTTTGAAAGCCTCCAATGATGGAGCACCCACAACTTCTGAAGGCAAGCCATTCCATCAGTTGATTGCTCTCACCATTAGGAAGCTTCTCCTTAGTTCTAGGATGCTTCTCTCCTGGGTTAGTTTAGACCTTGTTGCAAGTCACTTATTTCAGTGCTGTAACTTCAAAATGGCCACTCAATAAACGGTTGCAAGTGGGAGGGTCAACCCGTACATGGAAAATCACGGCCGGAATTCTTAAAACTCAAGATCTGATAGTGCCACTAAAGCAGGAGGTGGGGGTAAGACAGGGGCCAGGGGGCAGAAATAGAGATTTGCTTCCTAGCACCGCTTTCTCAGCTCTCCCCCTTCCATAAATGTCTTTACTTTGCTTGTGGATCCTTACAAACTGCATTCCCAGCTGCATTCTAGGCTTCTCCAACTTGTTCCAACATTGTGCAGATCCCAGCTGGGGGCTTCTGTTCCAAATTCCTGCTTCCGTTTTATTAGCACCTTTTGCCACCAGGGGGCGCAGCCAGCACAACAGACAAGGAACAGCCAAAACAAGACAGAAGAAATTCCCAATTCCAGGCAGGTCCTTGAGTTACGACAGTTCATTTAGTGACCGTTCAAAGTTACAGTGGCCCTGAAAAAAGAGACTCGGGATCATTTTTCACACTTACGACCGTTGCAGCGTCCCCACGGCCGTGTGATTTTTCGCTCAGATGCTTGACCACTGACCCACCTTTATGACGGTCGCAGCGATCCCGTCATCCCCCTTTTGTGACCTCCTGGCCAGCAAAGTCCATGGGGAAAAGTGGATCCACTTAACGACCGTGGTTGCTAATTTTACAACCATAACAAATGGGCAAGAAAAGTCGCAAAATGGGGCCAGGCTCCCTTAGCAAACGTCTCACTGAGCAACCTAAATTTTGAGCTCCATTGCGGTCGTAAAATGAGGACTGCCAGTATTTATTGCTAACTTAAGTGATTCGTTTAAAGAGCTTGTGTTTAAAGGAGAGTTTTTAGGAGGAAAACCAAAAGCCAAACTTCTGTTTAATATTTATTTTAAGAGGGAGGAGAGACTGGGCACCTAGAGATGCTACACTTGTTCAGGGAATCCCGGCGGCCGTAAAGTTAGTCACACGGTCGTTAAGTGGATCTGGCTTCCCCAGGGGCTTGTCAGGTCACAGAAGGGGATCCCGTGATCCCGGGACCCTGCAACCGTCATAGGTACACGCCAGTTGCCAAGCCTCTGAATTTTGATCACGGGAACACGGAGATGCTGCAACGGTCCTAATGAACAGTTGTAAATCGAGGACTATCTGCAGCTCAGGAAATTAGGCAGGAATGAGTGCCTTGGACTACGAGGGGGAGCGTGGTGGGAGCCAGTTCCTCGGAAAGGCACCAGGTTGGTGAGAGAGGCGGAAACCGCATTTGCATGCAGCCCTACGCGACGTCAGCTTGCAGCGATAAGAAGCCGGAGGATGGCCAAAGGCCAAAGAGGCTGGATTTGGTGGGAATGCTGAGCAGTTTGTCTGATGGCTGAGCGTGATTGACACTTACAAATTACCAGCCCGGAGTGTCAAGTCTTTGACCCCTGAGTAACATCTTCGGCGAGCTTGAGATTTGCCAGCATTTTGTCATCTAATTACTACAAATCCCTTGGAAATTCACTGGCTGCTGAATGCTTAAGGCTGGGTGCAGATTTGGCAGATCGGTCTCTCCTCCTCCTTCTATTTCTTCCTCCTCCTATTTCCTCCTTCTGTTTCTTCCTCCTCCTTCTTCCTCTTCCTCCTTCCTCTTCCTCCTCCTATTTCCTCCTCCTCCTCCTTTTTAAACTCTTGAGTCCTTCCTGGGACGAACAAATGCTGTAGGATGCTGGCCTGGCTTAAGGGATGTCACCACCATGTCTGTGCGTGGACAGTGATGTCTGTCTGCACCAGAGGATTGGACAGCCAGTTTCTCAGTTCTTGCATTAGCAACATCTTGGTGGGACGTCATAATTGCGTTTGTTACTTTGAGACATTTGATGTTAGGACATCCTGGATATTGGTTCCTCCAGAGGGATAAAATGCAGATTTGTAACCATATCTCTCTCTCTCTCTCTCTCTCTCTCTCTCTCTCTCTCTCTCTCTCTCTCCCTCCCTCCTTCACTCTCCCTCCCCTCCCTCCCTACCCCTTTTGCTTACTCCCTTTCTCCCTCTCTCTCCTTCCCTCTCTCTCTCTCCCTCCCTCTCTCTTCCTCCCTCCTTCATTTCAGAACCAAACGACAGTCAACAGGAAGAGAAAAATATTTTAAATTCCAAGTAGATCTCTTAACTCAGAACCCACAAAGAAGATGCTTCAGGACAAATAGCCAGAAAGAAAGCACCATCGTGCTTTGAATTTCTCCTTGTCGCCTGCCAATCTAGGAAACCAGCGTTGGATACCACCACCACCCCCCGTAAAGCAAAAGCTTCATAACCATCTAGCAGAAAACAGTTTGAGTATTCCTCCCCTTCCACTCCTTTCTTAATAACGCGTCTGGTTTTTTGGAGAGAGAAAAAAATGTACATAATTGCTCTTTAAAAATGTTGTGAATAGGCCCATCCCGAAAAATAATCTAAAATAATAATTCCTTTTCTTTGAATGTCTGGTTTCTCTGCATTTTCCCCACTTCACATTTCCGGCTCCTGCAATTTTATGAAAGTTTATTCAATTTCCTTAAGTGAGGAAAAGAGTAGTAAACTTTCCCCCTTTGCTCCAACAAAACTGAAGGATTCGGAAACATCTGACTTGGGAGAAAGTAAGCAAATAAAATATAGGATAACAGAGTCAGGAGGGACCTTGGAGGTCTTCTAGTCCAACCCCCTGCTCAAGCAGGAGACCCTATACCATTTCAGATCAACCATGGGATGAAGAGGGAAAGCAAGACTGGACAAGCAGAGCCCTGGGCGTGTTAGACTCTTGAAACGTTTGTACCCAACTCAAAATACACAACTTGGAAGAGCCAAAAGGCTGTTCCAGGCGGTTTGGGGTATTCAATTTATGGACAATCCATGCTTACAAATGGGCTTCCTAGAGTACTAAAAATGGTGGATGGTGTCCTTCCTTGAGCTGAGAACCTCCGAAGCTGTACAATCTTTCTATGAGCTGTTGAAGCTACACATTCTCCCCAAAAGTTGTGGGTAGATTCGTCACTGGAGGCTTTTAAAAAGAGACTGGACAACCATTTGTCTGAAATGGTGTAGGGTTTCCTGCCTGAGCAGCGGTTGGGACTAGATGACCTCCAAGGTCCCTTCCAACTCTGTTACTGTTCCTGTCTTCAAGTAAAAACAAAGAAAGTCCTTTTGCAAAAGCACCTTTGGGTTAAGAGCCCTTTAGGATCTTCATGAGATTCCAATCTCCATTAAGACACTAAATATTGTATTTATCCTGACCATTCGCTTAAGCTGTTGTGTTAGGACACCGTGGGAGGCTAAGATCTTGCCTAAACAAGAACACATTTTTTTTTAACTAAGGGTACATCTGTAGCTTGCAAGTCCTGGATCAATTTGAGCCTTTGTTTTTATTTATTTTTCCTCCCAAACAACATATTTCGACGAAAAACTTGAGCCTGGGCAGCAGGTCAAAAACATTTCAATGTGGACGCATTATTTTCAACGCTGGGGTTGGGTAGATGTGGAAAGTTCCCTCTGGACCAAAAAAACCCCCCAAAAAACAGAGAGGAACTAGTGTCACTTTTCTGATGGCCACTAAGAATTATTCTGCACTTCCTGTAGGTAGCGATCCTTTATTCTTGTGAGAGTGTGTGTGTTGGTCCATTGCACGTCCATCTTGAAATCACAGGGTCTGCCAGTTGCCACAGGGAACCCCAAGAAGAAGGCGGCAGATGAAACCATTCCCAGACAGAGACAGCTTTCTCGGGATTTAATAGCTCTAGTATTGTGTGACATTTGGGTTTTACTCACTGGAGAAAGGAGCACTAATTAGTTCTTGGTTTCACTGCCGTAAAAGCAAAACTCAATGTTTTATGGAGTGCTAAAGACATCTGTGGCAGAGTTCTTCGTGAAGTCCAACTTGGAAACCTTGAAATTCAACCTCACTCCCCCAATTCTTCTACAAGAGCTTGAGGAGGAGGAGGAGGAGGACTGATCTGCCAGGTATCCCTGTGGTCACGTGATCAAGATTAGGATTGGACTAGAAGACCTCCAAGGTCCCTTCCAGCTGTATTCTGAAATCTATATAAAGCACGAGTCCTTTTTCGAGAAGGAACCGACTGCAGGATTGGTGCTCCCTAGGCAACGATGCCAGCCAGTTCTGCTCCAGCGCGCCGGAATGGCTTTGTCGATCCGCTGGGAGAACGCTGCTCCATGGGCGGCCGAAGCGGCCCGTGATGTTTCCTCAGCCATCTCGCTCCTCCTACGGCCGAGAGGCCCGGGCTGTGCTTTCATCTGCTGACTCCGAGGGCAATTTACAGCCACCGTCACTGCTGCCCTCCTCGTGCCATCTTCCCCAGCTTTATGGGAAGAGCCTTGGGGCGCGTGCTTGCTCCATCACTCACGAGGACCTCTGTGAAGCCACCGCGGCTGCCATGGCAACGGGGCCTGTAGCTGGTCCAGCAGGATGATAAGTAGCCTTTGCAGCAAAGGGGAAGGAGAAATTGCGGGCAAGGTGAAGAGGACTGTGATGAGAACAGGCCTCTGGGCTTAATACGTGGGGGCTTCATTTGGGTTGGGCTTTGTCTGGAAATGCAGCCAGCCCCCAGTCGCTTGGAGGGTCTTTTTTTCCTGGCTTAAAGCACCTAATTTGAAAGCTTGGCCTGCTCAAAAGCAACGCAAACTTCTTCATGCGACTGGGGAAAGGAGAAGCTTGACTTTGTGTTTGTAGTGGTATGTGAGAAAGGCCTTGGGAGACTGGGTGAAGACAGGCTGTCAAGGGAATAAACAGGTAAGAGATGGCTGTAGCCCAAGGCTGAATGGTGGGGGGGGGGCAAGAGGGGGACAGAAGGGACCCTCCCTACTTTCTCAGGTTTTAAAGGGTGCGTACAGAATAATAAGAGTTGGAAGGGACCTTGGAGGTCTTCTAGTCCAACCCCCTGCTCGAACAGGAGACCCTGTACTATTCTGGACAAATGGCTGTCCAGTCTCTCTTATCAGAGAAAGAAATGATAGATGAGACAGAAATAGTTGACAGATCAGAGAGAGATGATAGAAAGAGAAAAACAATAGAGGAGAGAGAGAGAGTTGGCAGATGATAGATGAGATGAGATAGTTGACAGATAATAGAGAAAGGAAGGAAGGAAGGAAGAAAACAAGCTCAGAGAGTACCAAGGATCCCTCATTTCAACCCTGAGCTCCAAATATTCTCATAGATGATAGATAGATAGATAGATAGATAGATAGATAGATAGATAGATAGATAGATAGATAGATAGATAGATAGATAGATAGATAGATAGATAACAAGCAAGCTCAGATAGATAAATAGATAGATAGATGATAGATAGATAGATAGATAGATAGATAGGTAGATAGGTAGATAGGTAGATAGGTAGATAAAGAAAGAAAGAAAAAGAAAAGCTCGGATGGATAGATAGATGATAGATAGATAGATAGATAGATAGATAGATAGATAGATAGATGATAGAGAAAAAGAAAAAAGCAAGCTCAGATAGATAGATAGATAATAGAGATGATAGACAGATAGATAGACTATGACAGGTAAATAGAGAGAGATGATAGATAGATAGATAGATAGATAGATAGATAGATAGATAGATAGATAGATAGATAGATAGATAGATAGATAGATAGATAGATCATCCCCATCTTCTAGCCAACATCTGAACAAGCCTTGTTCAACCGAACTCTCCTCCTCCTAAGAGAAGAGCCAGCAGGGCCGCAGAGACAGGGAGATTCCACCTGTCCTCTTGACCTTACCCTCTGGTCACCTTGAAGCCCTTCCCTATTAGCAGCAAGGCAGATGGAGGCCGACAGGACCCCACCAGCCTTCCTCCTTGGGCTTTTAACAAGCAGAAGCCAGCGAGTGTCCAATCAATCATATTTAAACAAAAGCCACTCTGGCCCTAGGGCCTTTTAAAAAGCTGCTTATTTAATTAAAAGTCCCATTCCCCATATTTATGGCTCTTGATTCGGTTAAATATTAACTGCCTGGGCCAGGATGGGTTTATCCTTTCTAGGAAGCAGGCTGGGAGGGGGGGAGATCCAATCGGGATGCTCGCATTCCATCAGAAACGGGGAGACGATCCCTTTTTTTTTTTTACGGAAGGAGTTGGGGACATTGGGGTGCTTTCTTTGTAGACCTGCAGACAGGAATTGGGTCTGTCTAGTTCAGGGGTAGGCAACCTTGGCTCTTTTATGACTCATGGATTATGCTGGCTCAGGAATTCTGGGAGTTGAAGTCCACGAGTCATAAAAGAGCCCAGGGTTGACTACCCCTGGTCTAGGGTCTCCTGCTCAATCATGGGGTTGGACTAGAAGACCTCCAATGTCCCTTCCAGCTCTGTTATTCTATATTCTGTAAAAAAAAAATAATCTTGCTGAATCTAACACACTCAACCTTCTGTGTCATCAGATGAATTCGGGAACATCTTGAATATTGGAGCCCTCAGAGCGATACCTAAAGGACTTCCTCAATATCTGGAAATACTGAATTTATCAGACCAAAACACCCTAATTTTTACAGAAACCACCCTACTTGAACAGCCTATATTTTCTCGGATGCTAATTTAATCGTTCTTAGCTCCTCGGTTAGGGCTTGAATTATTAAGTTTCCAGCAGTCTTAGACTGTGAATCTAACTGCAGGTTATTTACACTTATTTTATTTTTGGCCCTCTTTTTAAAAATCTAATGAAATATCTTGAATATTTAATTAAAAATAAATTAAAATATCTTAATTTAAATATCTTTAAACATCTCTGTCCAAGCAGAGCTGCCCAGGTCAAAAAAGTCAAAATGGCAGTCTGGATCGAAGCCCCAAATGTCATTTTTTAGGTTGCAGATGCCCCTGTTTGGAGAATAAAATAATTTTGAGTTTCTTGCTTTGTTTTGTGGGGTTTTTTCCCTAAAAAACCCCAAGAAAAGATATTAATGCCTTCCCTGTTCCCCATAAATAACGGTTCTTTATAGGAGAACCATGGCTATCCCCTTAGGAATGTGTCTGTATGTATAACCATGCACACGAAAGAGACCCCCTGTTTCCATTCTTTATATTCAATTGGTGAAACACAAATCGAATGAATTGAGCTTTAATGAATTCTTTTCAGTCCCTGCTTATCTGTTGCCAACAGTCAAACACTTGAAAGCTTTGTTATCACCTCATTCACTTGTTGGGCCATCAATGACCTTGGCACTTGGGATGCCGAATGTCAACATTTCTCCAAGTGTATGGCTAAATATCTATGGAGATGCTCAGTCATCCAGGTCATAGTCTCAAAGGTGGCTTTTCAAAAGACAACAGAACTGTTTTTTCTTTGAGGAAGGAGGAGGAGAAGGAAGAAGGAAGAAGAAGAAGAAGAAGGAAGAAGAAGAAGAAGA